TGTGTGTGTGTGTGTGTGTGTGTGTGTTTAGTGTCAGTTGTGTGTGTGTGTGTTTGAGTGTGTGTGTGATTAGGAGCTGAAACAGCAGGACTGGAACAGCGTACGTTCGCATGTTGCGTTATTTCTGGTGGCTCCAGATTGAATTAAATCCCGGATTAATCAGATGAGGAATCGCGCGAGCAGCACAAAGCCCAGAATGAAATTATTCCCCTCCCTTCTCACCCGCGCTCCCAGCATGCCCTGCTGCACATGATGCTGATTCAGCTGCGTGTCACTGTGCACGAGCGCTGATTTCTCGCGGCCTGGTGAGGGACAGACGGAAAGAAATGCACAGAGCTGCTTTGCCAGAAGATGAGAAGAAAAATAATCCACAATCTAATCCAGAGAGGCTTTAATCCAGATTAATCTGCTGCTGAGAATATCTGCGGCGGCGAACCGCTCCGCGGCGGCGAACAGCTCCGCGGCGGCGAACAGCTCCGCTCTGACCTCGGGGAAATAAAACGAGGATCACAGGGCTGCAGCGTCTCAGGAATGGAAATTAGTCAGAGGTCAAAGGAGACGATTCATAAAAAAATAACGACTTAGAAGATTTAGAAAAGATTCGTCAAAATTTGTCTCTAATGATGAAATAGAAGTTATATAAGATTTGTTAAACTGTTCAATTAAATGTAAAATTGAATAAGATTTGTTCGTTTTTTTTAACTCCTTGAGCCATCCATTCCGTCCATGTACACAAAACTCCGCCCCCAGAACCTAAGGTGACTCAGCTAGCGCTAACATGCTAACTCAAGTTCAAGCGCTCTTGTGTTTATCGTTATAAGACTATAAACACACGAAAGAAATTTGCTTTATACTTTATGATAATGTTCATGAGTGTCTTCTCTGTCCTGTTGTGTTATATTTATTTATTTTTGTAATTAGCATTCATGAGCTTTAGCTAGCATTACACACATTTCTATAAAGGTGCTTTGTCTAAAGCATTACCTTCCCCAGCTCTCTAAACGATAAAAACATGCTAGATTGCGTTTACAGACCTGTCCAGGAGCGACATCGCTAACTCCATATCCAGCTTCTTCGCCTTCACCAGTAATAAAACGTTTCTCACGGCCACTGTGTAGTTTTTTGTTCACAGGAGAATTATCTGGCTGCGCTGGGCGCGTACCGGTTTCAGCCATGTTGTTCTTTCTGAATAGACTGAGATAGGGGCGGAGTGAAGGGACGTTGGGGGCGGGACTATAAAGTGACTGACAGGAGTAACACACTCCTGCTGAGATCGTGGCTTATACAGTGACTTTTTTATCACGTTCTACAGTTTTCCAGTTATTTGTACAAAAGAAAGAAATTCTGTAAAAAACTACCTTTAAAACAAAATATAAAATTTTTTGTCTTGGGTATTTTAAATTTTAACAATATTTAGGGTTAAGTAATAATTTTCTGAGTACAGATTAACTTTTTTTCATCATTTGGTGTTGAACTTATACTCAATCTCTCTCTCTCTCTCTCTCTCTCTTTCTTTCTTTCTTTCTTTCTTTCTTTTGCATATCACGCCATATCCCAGTTCCTCGTCTCCTGCTCCTCAAGAACATAACGGCAGACAAGTGAAACTTGTGTGTGTGTGTGTGTGTGTGTGTGTGTGTGTGTGTGTGTGTGTATGGCACTGTTCCAGATTCCCCTCCAACCAGCATACAGAAGTTCATATGTGGATCTACATAAGGTTAGAACCTCATGACCCTGCTCTATCTCTCTATCTCTCTCTCTCACACACACACACACACACTCACACACACACACACACACACACACACACACACACACTCGGGTCAGCGCTGCCTGTGGGAGAGTCGATGTTGAGGAAACTGAAGATGTGGTTATTGATTTTAAACAGCGTTGTGTGGAGTGGATTCTTCTTCTTACGAAATGCTTCTGTGTCTTTTTAATGTTTTTTCTTTCTTTCTCATTCTTTCATTTATTATTTCACTATTTCTTTCTTTTTCCTTTATTTATTTCTGCCTTTTTTTAATAACACCCATTTCAAGAATGTCTTTCTTCCTTTCGTCTTTCTTTCTTTTTACTGTCCTTCTTTTTAAATGTCTCTCTTTTATTAATGTATTCCTTTTTAACTTATTTTCTTCTTAATCATCTTTTTCTTGCTTTATTTCTTTTGTTTTTATTTTCTTCTTTTCATTTTCTTCATTTCATTCTTTCTGTCTTCTTTTGTTTATTTTTTTTATTTAAAATTGTCTTTCTTTCTTTATTTATTTATTTCTTAATAAAGAGTCAGAGTCTCTTCTTTTTTGTTTGGAGAAATGTCTTCATATAACTCAACCCTGAAGAACAACTCAATCCTGAAGAACAACTCAACCCTGAAGAACAACTCAACCCTGAATATCAACTCAACCCTGAA